TCGGTGGGATGTGGTGGCTGTGTTGGTGGTGGCGGTGGCGGTGGTTCCAGTAGTGGCTTTTTTACCCTACTGAGAAACTTTGAAAATATTTATGGACCTCATCTGATATCTCATAATGTACATGGTTTGACACATATATGTGACGATTATGATAAGTTTGGACCACTTGACAACTGTTCAACATTTCCGTTTGAAAATTTCATGAGTTCTCTGAAGAAAATATTAAGGAAACCTGATAAGCCTTTACAACAGATTGTCAAAAGATATAATGAAATCTGCCATCTAAAAACTAAAGTTAAAACTAAAATTGCCCCATATCAACTTAGTGGACCTCATGTACGTGGACCAATATTAGAGAATGCTTTAAAAGGAGACCAGTTTACCTCTATTGTATTAGAAACATTGAAAATAAAAACGAATATAGAAGCTGACTCATACATACTTACTAGTGATGATAATGTTGTAAAAGTTTTTAATATAATATGCAACAAAGATTTGGATGAAGTTATTTTAATATGTAAAAAATTCAAAAACAAACACATATTGTTTAATAATCCCATAAAATCATCCAAATTAGGCATATATATAGTTGATATATTATGTAATAATTTTATTTGGTATAAAATATAGGTAGTATTAAAAAAAAAAGTTATGCTTTTACCTAATAACAATACATTTATTGCCTTACCAATTATTCATTCTACTAAAATATAAACTTTTTATTGTTAAACTCATATGAGTCTACCTAATTATAGTTTTTTCTATTAGTAAGATATCATTAAAATATGTATTATATAGTTTTACTTTTTAAAATTAAAATCATTTTTAGATAATAGTTGGTATATTGTGCTCTGTATATTTCTATTTTTATTTATTTATTTTATATTTTAACAACAAGAACAATATTACAATTATAATTACAATTTACAGTATAATATGTGGTCAATTGTGGCATTTGAAGCAGATAACTCTGTAGAGGTTGTACCATCGAATTGGTTTGAAAAAGATTTATGTGCATGGCCAAAAAAAAATTTAAGAACATGCATTGACAACCAAATATCACCAAACGAAAAATGTTTTCGGTATTTAAATGCTCAACAATTAGGAAAAGATATAAAAATAAGGTATGAACTTATTTTTTTATAAATTTAAAGTAGTGAATTATGTTATTTTTTGTTTCACTCAATTTACAGATAGTTATAAAATTGCTGAGGAAAAGGCCAACCGGGCTAAACTGACATCTGATTTGTCAACAAATGAATCTTCTCAAGAAAATGTAGATAGATATAAACCTAAATTGAAAAGAAAAGTATCTCTTGATAAAAAAACAAAACATAGTTTATGGAGCCCAAATTCTGATGATATTTTTGGTAAAATTATTTATTATAAATTATTTATAATTTTAATTGAAATTTATTTTTGTTAAACACCATTATTGAATCAAATTGTATTTATAATAATTACAGATGATAGTGATGCAGATCCTTTGTACTCGCCAGAATTGAATAATGCCCAAGGTAACATTTATGTTATGTTTATATATTTTTGAGAAAGTAAAAATGTATCATGTACACATATTTAAGTATTAATAACATATAGTAGGTACCTATTACATAATATTATATTTGCATGTTAAATATTATGTTATTGTAGACATAGTCAATATTCACATACATAAACAAAACAAAATATAACTATCGTGGCGTATTTAAATAGTTATTTAAAATCATATTTGCCCATACTTTGTGTAATTAACAGGGCTTGAAACCGAAAAAAAATTTTTGGATTTCAATTTCGGTTTCGGTTACCGGTATTTACTTTTACCGATTTCGATTTTGATTTCAGATAACGGTTTTAAAAAATTGTGGTTTCAATTAATATTTTGCATACCGGTTTTGTATACTAATTGTATTGATTTAAATTTGAAATAACGTTTTTGATAAATTACGTTTTTCCGTTTTAACTATGCACACCGGTTTAAATATTTTTGATTTTGATTTCCATTTCAAATAACGATATCAAGAAATTATGTTTTCTGTTTTGAATTTGCATACCAATTTTATACATTTTCGATTTTGATTTCCATTTCAAATAACGATTTCGAGAAATTATGTTTTCCGTTTTGACTTTGAATACCGGTTTTATTTATTTTCGATTTCAAATAATGAAATAACGATTGCAATAAAATGAAATATGTTGGTTTCACCTTTAAATTTTAAGTTTAAAAAAATTGTAAACAAGTATTGAAGAGGACGTCGTAATCGTATGTCTTTTCTCTGTCTTACTAACACATAACATACAAAAATCAGTGACTAACCAATGGTGGTTGTGCGGAGTGGGGTGTGAACACAGATGGTGTTCATAGTTTCTTCCCACTGGTGTAGACTATGAAAAGATTGATCTAGAATAGATTCTATTCTAGATTGTTTAGATTGAAACGAAAATTATTGATACTGTAGCTAAATCATCTAAAATGTTACATGAATTGCATATTTAGTACTACCTGCTTTAAAAACAATATTGGGTCAGCTTTTGAACGTTGTTTGTATTCTTTGGTATAATATTGAATTTTTGATAATGTATTTTTTGTTATTTTTATAAAATTTCTCAGTTTTAATGTATCGCAATTTTAATTTTGAGTTCTGTGCACACCATTAGTTGTCCAACAAAATATAACCCGTTAACCTATCGGCTGGTGATAGGTKTGAAGAGGAGGAGGAGAAGAATAGGTATATACTAACCTACTACCCTAGGCATATATCATAGTAGGTACTAGGTGTATGAAAAAATAGAGACTAATAAAAAATACACTGTTTATAACAAAGTAAATTCAAAATTGTATGTAGTGTATGTACTACCTAAATAATATTTTATTCTATCAATTTGTGTAGTTGGTAAAGATAATAGGTGTTTATATGTGTTGGAAAAAAGTTTATAATAGGAGTGGGAGAGAGAGGTTGAGTATTATTTACTACCCATGAGTATGCATTATACGGAGTTACTTTTTCTGATATGGTGAAAAGGTACAAAAATATAATGTAATGTCATGTATAATTTCAATTAATATTTAATACTTTAATAAAAAAAAATCATAACATCCTGTTATAAACAACCATTGTGGCATTATGCCATCATAAATATATATACTACTTGTATATAACAAAACTAATGTTGAAAGTATTATAAATTAAGAATGGTTATCATTAAAAATGTGATTGCTGCGTACAACCATGATTGCATCTAATATGTCTTCGGATAAAGATGATCTTAAATCTGATAAAATGAATTTCAGATTCGAAAAACTTCTTTCTACGCTCACCTAAAAAAAAAAAATATAATATATTATATGAAAAACTTATTGATTATCCACATATTATATTACGAGGGGTTAGTAAATTAAAAAAAAAAAAATACTAACCTGAGTTGCTGGTACTGCTAGAACAATACAAGCAAGTTTATACAACTCATGATGTGTATCTTTTAGAGATTCCCAGTACTTAAGAATGTTTGTTGTATATGGAATGCGTTGGGCATCTTTAAAATCATGTAAAAGTTTTTTTATGGAGCTGGTAGAACTTATCTCAGTTGATGTTGTTGAAACTGATGACTGAGAAGACAGAAAAACATCAAACTCATCAACATTTGATATACTTTCTTCAGTATTATAAGAAAAACTAGTATTTGTTTCGTTTGTGGTATCATTATCTAAACAATAAAATACATATAATTGTCAAATTTTAAGTTTGGATTTAATAAAATATTATTTATGAACAACATCAGATATATTTAATTTATACTCTAACTTATATATTTATAGAGCTCCTTCTCTCTTTGTATATTAATATAGTATAATTTTGTTTTTATATAAAAATTATAATTAATTAAAAGTCCCGTAAACTATCATAGATTTCAATGTATTATTCTATATGTTTATAGCTTAACTGTCATGAGAGACATGCCAGACATTATTCAGACATATTTTATACTCTTAAAACTACACACAACCATATTGCAAACACTTTTATTCTACTAATAATCTTATTCATTGTATTTAAATATAATGATTATTTGTTTATACTACATGATAACACCATATTTTATTGTATGTTTTATTTTTTTTAAACTTATTATTCTCATTTATATACTATTTTCTTTTTATCCATTCTTTGCTGTAACAAATATGTTTGATTTTTACACTGTGTCATATAGGCATTCTGACTGACGGCCAGTTCACTTTGAATAAAGTTGTTTCTCTCTCTACTATAACCATTACCTAGTCTATAAAAATAATTATTTATAATACCATATACCAACCTAAATTATCATTCTCAATGTCATTTGGCAAATGTTCAGCTTGTTCTAAGTTATCCAAAACATTCCATGTGTTCACTAGATGAGTTATTGCTGTAGTTTTTTCTTCTTCATTTAACAACATCTGATACCTTGGATCAAGGTAAATAGCTAAAATAAAAGAGTAAGTGTATTAGTAGTTGGTAAATACTGTATAATTCACTATATAGGTATAATATTTATTTAACTTTACATACCAGCCAAAAACACATTATTATTTAATAGCAATGTCTGTCGTTTTTTCATAGAATTTTCAATACACTTTGCTAGTATGGTACCATTGGAGTTTAATCCGTGTATTGCTCGCAGCCAAATACCATAAAAGTCTCCAAGATTAATATCTTGTTTCTGGAGTGCCAATGTTGCTATTTTAACTGGGTTAAGCGCGTTTATCTAAGTATAAAGATATTATTCAATGTAACATTTTCATTTAAAGACTATACAATTAGGCAATGTCTGAACCTACAATACTATGAATTGATTCCCATTCACTATTGCTTAGTTTAAGATCTGGATGTTCGTCATCGTGTTCTGTGCAAAAATCTTTCAATTCAAGTAAGCGGAATAACATATTGTATAATGAGTTCCACCGAGTTTCAATGTCAATTATAGCATATTTTAAATGGTTTTTTTTCAACCAAGTACAATATTTCGGTGTTCGAAGTTTTTTCACAACCTATAACATTTTATTAAAATTAAAATTTAACTATTATTAAAAAGTAAGTTTTATCACTATTTATAATAAATTACCTTTCTAGCTTGAATAATGCAACTTGCTATAGCTGCAGTTTTCAAACCATCATTGATACATAACTGTAATGTATGGACAGAACATCTAATAAAAGTTGTAACTGACTTTGGTTCGATAGCAATAATAATATTCTGTTGCATAATTTCGTCATCAACATCTTTATTTGTGTCAACTAAGCCTTCTAAACATTTAATAATAATTAATATAGTAACATCCTTTATTCAAGTTAAGAAACGCACCAGTTTACATCACATAAATTTAGGTACTAATGAAAATTTTAAACCAAGACACTGGTTTTTATATTATTATTTTAAATTTAATTAATTGATTTGCTTTTTGAATATATAAAAAATTAATAATTATTAATAATAGTATAATGTTATAATGTATGCATACCAGGGTCATTGAAAAGTTCATTCAATATATTCTCATCAGATAAAGGTGGTCCGTCATTTTCATACTCAAATTCATTCTCATCATCACTAGTATGAGAATTAATAGGAATACCCAGATAGCAATCGGGAAATATTTATATTGTAGACATATGTTTTCTTTATGTTCTTCAAAATATTTTGGCAATATGTTTATATTATGAACAAAACTATATTTATAAATAAATGTTTAAAACATATTGTATCAATATCTATATATGATGGACAAGAAAATATTTTATGCAACATCAAGTGAAAATATTGAGACAATGTAGATCTAAAGTTATTGATAACATATGTTCTGATAGATATTCTGACAATATTTTTATTTAATGGAAAAAAAAATATTTTATGCAACATCAAGTGAAAATATTGAGACAATGTAGATCTAAAGTTATTGATAACATATGTTCTGATAAATATTCTGACAATATTTTTATTTAATGGAAAAGAAAATATTTTATGCAACATCAAGTGAAAATATTATGACAATATAGATCTAGAGTTATTGGTAACGTGTGTTCTGATAGATATTTTTACAATGTGTTTATTTAAAGTACCTGAAAATAATTAAGGAATGCCGTGAGAACACATTTTGACAATGTAACCATAAAATAATAATTAATAAATATATTAAATGCGTGTTCTTTTATATTATATATTATTGGTATTAAATGTATTTATGTGTTTAACTTATCTTATGGGTATACTGCTGTGGTGTAACAAGGGGGAGGGCTGAGGGTGCTGCAGCCACTCCCGAAATGTTGAAAAAATTTAAAAATTATTTTAATGGTCAATGAAAGTTGCTAAAAAAGTATTAAATTGTATTTTTAAAATATAAAAAGAAAAGGCATTGATATTTCATTATTTTTTTCTATATATTAAACTTACGGAAGAGCCTAAGTAAATCACCGCTGTGTAAAAATTGATCAACCCTCCCCTGCCACTTCCCAGTATACATATAGCTAGATACACATAGGTATAAAAAAATAAAATATTAAAATCTATAATATATATTAAATTGCCGTATAGGTATATTTATAGGTAGGTATTATAATATTTTCCTTATATATTACTTGTATAAGTTTATCAGGTCCTGTAGCCCCCTCCCCCTCCCCTACTTAGACATTAAGGACCCCGGCCTAAATATGCCACTGACAGTGTTGGGTAGTAACGTAACGAAAGTAATGTTATATTATATTAGTTATAAATATTATAATTTATAACTACCAAAGGCATTTGCATATAATTTGTTTTATATTTATTAATAAGTATTTAGAAGAGCATTTTATGTTTCACATATTTCCAATAATAAACCGCATTCTTTACAGTATTTTCATTATTTTAAGATTATTATATTATTATGAAAATGTGACGCGCGTCTATCAATATTCAATATAGCCATATGACATATAGGTATAATAATATAATAATAATATTATCATTTAATATCAGATATGGAAAACCCCGGCATCCATATAATTATATAATAGTTGCGTCGCGTCGTTGCGGGTAGACGCAGCAATACCGAGTACCGACATATTTTGCTCATTGTCAATATTGTCATTGCCGTTGCCCATTGGATGTGCTGAACAATGATCACGTTATTGATAGAGTCCGACGAATGACGACCGCCGTCACTGTATAAGTTTTAGTTTTTGTTTAATATTTGAMATATTTTGTACAAAATACCTATGTACGTCTTGCACTATTGCTCCGTGCTCGTCTTCTCGTGCCTCTCGTGGTCGTGGTGTGTTTGTGTAACGTGTAAGTGTAACCGACAGGCGACAACCGTTTATATTATTCGAATTTCAAATATCCATTGCAGCAGCCAAAAATCTACTTCAAGCTACTGAAGAAGCTTTGTATTATTCCAATTTCCAATATAATACCTAGGTAGGTAATAGGTATATAATTGAATTCACTCGAGAAGTAAGAAGTAGTCTGCACGAGTTACGGATATTAGTATATTACTTATTGCAATAATAAGTATATCTACGCAGTAAGTACCTACCTATCTACCTATATATTATATGCTATTACTTAAGTACTTGTTGTAAGAGGACGTTAATAAACGTTATACGGGCATTTATTTTGTTGTCTCCGTCTTACAAGTGTGTAACATAGCAAATGTAAAATACAACTCATTTTAGGATGAAAATATGTTTTAAAAAAACCTTTAAGATGCCGTTGATGATAATATTACATTTAAATTTTATAAGAAGTCAATTCACTCTAATTTTTAAACTGACTGAGCTAAGCATGATCCGTTGAGCGTACAATTTGTTGTGTTACACACTTGCAAAACAGAGAAAACAAATGCCTGTATAATGTCCTTTTAAGTACATACAATACTTATTACTTAATATTATAAATAATAAAATACCTAATAAAATGTTTGAACTGAAATGTTACAAAATTAAAATGTAGTCTATATTGGCAATACATACATAAGCAAAATTTGAAGAAGTTATACTTAAGATGTAAACAGTTTTATAATATTTTGAATTTGTTGGTGAAGCTTTAACAGGACACCACACCTGCATGTGTTGTCTCTGTTTAACAAACATACAATATAACAAAATCTATTATGTGTGGGACAACTTATTCCATCTGTACCTATTTATTGTAGAATTACCAAAATTTCTCATCACATTGGCAAAAACATTATCTGTGTCGTACCGTTTTTATTAATTGGATAGATGTAGGTAACATAAATACAATTTATCAGTTTAAGAAAATTAGATATGTAATTTTGTTTTTTTTTTTTATAAAATTAATTATTTAAAATTATTGGTATTATAGTGCTATACTGCTATCAAATACATATGGAGTAAAGTTGAACCCACAAAACAGTTTTTGAAACATGTACATTTGTAAGAGGAGACAACACATGCTGGTCATCTTAATATAATGTATTAACATAATACTGAAAAGTTATTGTACATACTATCTAACTATATATAAGTATACTAGGTACACGGTATATATGCAATATGCAGCTAAAATATGTAACTGTAGGAGACTTTATGATGGTATCAGTTATGCATATTTATATTATATAACACAATGCCATACCACTTCAACATCATGATACACGCATTATTGATTTGATTTATTTTTTTAAATTTTATTTAAACAGGTAATTTTATTTTAATATTTATATAGGTTCCTACAAAATGATCAAAAGTTATAGAACAAAAAGAAGAAAAATTCAAAATGATCTGATGTTATTAAACTGCAGTTATGAATCTGATATATCCCTTACTAATAATGGTCATAAAGTAATTAATCAACCTTTAGAAATAATTAATTTACCAGATCCATTGAGTTCATCGATCTGTAGTGATAAAAGCCTACAATCTCATGCACCAGTTAACAATAATATTTTGTCTGACAATTTATTATTTGAAAACATAAACAAATTTGTAGAACCTAATAAGAATTTTGAAAACATTTCTGAAGTTTTTACGGATACACAAACTTGTAATGAAGATTATAAAATACCATTAAACATAAAGCTTAAAAATTGGGCTTTAGAATGTAATGTTCCACATTCAACTCTAAACAAACTGTTATACATTTTAAATAATGAAGATGACCCATCATTGTTTCAAGCATTGCCTTTAGACAGCAGAACATTATTAAATTCAGGTTCCTCAAAAACTACAAATATTATAAATATTCATCCAGGAAAATATTACCATTTTGGTTTAAGTGAAGGAATTAAAAGACATTTGTTAAAATTCAAACATAATGATGAGGTTAAAGTTATAATTGGTGTTGATGGTTTACCTTTATCAAAAAGCAGCGGTAGTCAATTTTGGCCAATATTAGCTTACATATATCCTCATTCTAATAATGTTTTTCCTATTGGAATATTCCATGGATATAAAAAACCTGATGACAGTAATGCTTATTTAAAATATTTTATTGAAGAAGCTGAATGTTTAACATTGCATGGGATTGAATTAGATAGCATTTCATTTAAAGTTTCAATAATGGCATTCTGTTGTGATAGTCCAGCCAAATCTTTTATATTAAAAGTTAAATCACATACAGGTTTTTCATCTTGTACAAGATGTTTCCACGAAGGCGAGTATTCACATAATCGCATATGTTTTCCTTATCATGAAAATGGTTTTAAAATCAGAGATCATGATGGATATGTGAATATGGTTCAGAAGAGCCATCATGTTCGTGAAGATGTAACATCAGATCTAATTAAATTACCTAATTTCGACATAGTAAGGTCTTTTCCATTAGACTATATGCATTTGGTTCTATTAGGTGTCATGCGTAAGCTGGTTCATTTATGGATGTCTAAAGGACCTTTAACTGTACGATTGCATAGTAAAGAATGTTTAGAGATTACCAAAACATTGTTAAGTTTCAAGCCTTACATACCTATAGAATTTGCCAGGAAACCTAGACCTATTGAAGAAATTTGTCGTTGGAAGGCCACAGAGTTGCGTCAGTTTTTGTTATACACGGGTCCAATAGTTCTAAAAAATATTTTATCTGAAGAATGTTATAATAATTTTATGTCTCTAAATATTGCGATGACAATTTTATTAAGTGCTAATCATACAAAAAAAGTAGAATTTGCTAATCGTTTATTACATTATTTTGTGAAACATTTTGGAGATATTTATGGTTCACATTTTATTTCCCACAACATCCATGGGTTGTTGCACATTGTGGATGATTATGAACATTTTGGACCACTTGATTCTTGTAGTTGCTTCCCGTTCGAAAATTACTTGAAGTTTTTAAAATCTGCATTACGTAAACATGATAAACCATTAGAGCAAGTTGTGCGTCGATATAATGAAGAATTTTCCAATTATGAATTTACTGCTACTAAAACACCTGAATCATTTTACACAAAAACTCACAATCAAGGACCAATGTTAGAAAATATAACTTGTAATCCTCAATTTGCGTCATTAAAATTAAGAAACATAACTATAAATATTAACAAATTAGCTGACAGTTTTATTTTCACAAAACAAAATCAAATTGTTAAAGTTGTAAATATTGCTCATTCATGTACGACTCAGGAACTTCTAATAATTGGATATACATTTTTTTTTTAAAAACCACTATATGATAGTCCAATAAAATCTACCAAGTTGGGTATATATGTTTTTGAAGATATGTCTGATCAATTACAAAGCTGGAAAATAGATGAAATAATGCATAAGTTAATGGTTTTAATATTTAAAAACAGAAATATTGCAATACCTATAATTCATTCTGTTTAAAAATGTATAAAAGAAGCTACAAATTGTAAATGTAAATTATGTATATATATACATATATAATATAGTATAATATAGGTACAGTAGTATTATATAAGTACTAATAATAATAAATATTTATATTAAGCTTAAAATAAGCAAATTATTTTAATTGATTAATTACCTGTACGGTACATAATGTATTAATTTTATACATTTTTAAACAGAATGAATTATAGGTATTGCAATATTTCTGTTTAAAAATGTATAAAAGAAGCTACAAATTGTAAATGTAAATTATGTATATATATACATATATAATATAGTATAATATAGGTACAGTAGTATTATATAAGTACTAATAATAATAAATATTTATATTAAGCTTAAAATAAGCAAATTATTTTAATTGATTAATTACCTGTACGGTACATAATGTATTAATTTTATACATTTTTTTATTTCAGAAAAAATGTGGTCAATTGTATTGTTTAATTTTGATAATAGTGTGGCCGCCAGTGGCGCAATAACCGGGGCAGATGGCGATGCCTAGCATCGGGGCCCCAAAACTCAAAGAGGGCCCCATCATAGGCGTAATACGTAAACCGGAAGGATATTTTAAATATGAAAGAATTAAATCGAATCTGAGATCATTAAATTGTTGAACACGGAAAATCATTTTGATAGTTACCACYAATGAAATAATAATCAATAATTAATACGTATATATATCATAGTGTGGTAAGTGCAGTCCTCAAGTTTTTAGTTTATTATATTATTATACTACTACAGCCATTKCCWACTTCATATTTTGTTTATAATATAGTTATGTATRAATACTGTAACATTTTAAGAATAACAGCCCGATAAACGATCGTATCACACAGGCTTGTGATGGGTGGGGCCGGTGGGGGTCAATATTTATTTCCCATGTTCACCATATGAAGTTATTTTTAAATTCCATCATGGAATTTCCATGTAAAATGAATTAGTATGATAAGACATACATT